CAATCTGATTCCTGTGTGTTCCATCTGGTGAAGTCCACGTGTACAGCCTCCGTTTGTGTTGTTGAAAAAAGGTGTTTGCAATGAACAAGACGTTGGTCTTGCAAAATTCTACCATACGAGTTCCAGCATTATTCCTGTCACCAAGGCCAAATTTTCTAAGAAAATGTTTAAAAAATACACAGGAAATTTATGTACAAGGAAGTTTAATACTATAGTCAAAAATCTGAAGAGCCTAGAAGTATGGAAAGGTAAATTAAGTTATGGACCATCCATTAAATGGGATATTATGTAGCAACAAAAATTATGCTTTTCAATAATTTCTTAATGACTAGAGAGAGGCTCATAGTTTAATATTGTTGTTGTTGTTGTTATGTGCTGTCAAGTCGGACCCGACTCATAGCGAGCCCTGCTTGGGTTTCCAAGGCAGTATCACTACGGAAGTAGATTGCCCCATCTTCCTTCAGAGGAGTAGTGGGTTTGAACCGCTAGCCTTCTGGTTAGCAGTCAAGTGCCTTAGGCACTATGCTACCAGATGTGAAGAGAATTTTATATATACATGTAAAATTATATTAACTTTAAAATATATACAATAAACAGAAAAACTATTGAAAAAATTAACTGGTTCTATTACCAAGTAGGAATGCAAGTATTTTTTATTCCCTTTACAGTATTTTGTCCATTCAGTTATAAGAAAGTGAATAATTATTACTTTTCTAATGAAAAGATATTATTTTAGAAGTCATCAGTCCCAGGCAATTACTTTGAGCCTTTGAATCTGGCCTATTCTCAGTAGTCTTGGCTTAGTAGTCACATGATAAAGCTGACCAACACAATAAAAATTAGGTTCAAAGAGTGATTTTTCTTTGTCCCTTCAAATAGTTCCGTGCAGTTAAATTCAACAAGTATTTATTGAACAATTGGAGATGAAGGTGAAAAACTGTGTTTACATGAATCAATTTTGTACAATGGAAAGGGCATAGTATTGGACTCAGACAGACTTGTCTTAAATTCTGGGTTTGCTCTTTTCTAATTATGTGACCTTGAGCAGTTTACTTCATCTTTTGAGCTACAATTTCTCTTTGCTCAAATCAGGGTGTTCATAATTACCATGCAGTGTTGTTTTAGAAAAAGTTGGAAGATGCTAGGCACATAAGCAAAAGTTAATACATCCTATGTTTTCTATTGTTTTAACTTACTTTTATTTATTCCTATTGTTTTTATTTGCATGTGTCAGTCTTCTCACATCTACCATCTAGTTTGATCCTATAGGATTGCTAACCTAGTAACATGATAGTTTTCATTTATTGAGTGACTGTTAAGGATTACGGGTTACAGGGATTATCTCACTTAATCCACACAAACTAGAACTACTCCACTCCTCCATTTACAGAAGAAATGAACTCAGAGAAGTAAAGTACTTTGTCCAAAGTTACACAACTAGGATGTAGCAGACACAGCATTTGAGTACAGTTCTTACTAATCTCAAAGTCCAGTACTTTTCTCATTAATACCAGACTGTTATTTCATTGGTTAATCATCTAATACTGTGTTAGTCAGTAGGGATATATGAAGAGAATGTAATCTTAGTTTTCTAGGGCAAAGATGTTTAAACTTCAATAAGCATATGAATCATACTGCGAATTATTAAAAAGCCGATTCAAATTCACTAGATCTGGGGAAAGGCCTGGAATTCTGTGTTTCTCATAAGCTCCCAGGTTTTATCAATGCTGCCAGTCTATGGGTCACAGGTTGAGGAAGAAGATTCTAAGAGTTTGTGACCTTGTTGTTGTTGTTGTTGTTATGTGTTTGTGACCTTGGGGAAAGGTATTCAAGTGCCCAAATAATTAAATGCGCTAAGAGTGATACTTTTTTTTTTTTTTTTTTCAAGAGTGATACTGATGGTATGAGGAAAAGCTCTGGGAGGACAAACTTATTTTTGCAATATAAATTCAGTTAATCATATATATATTTCTAATTTATTTATTATTTTTATTTTATTTTTTGTTATTTAATTGTTCAGTTTTTGAGTGTGCTCAAAAGTTTGGAAAACTTACTCTAGCACTCAAAAGAATGTCCAGAAAATCCTGGTGTCTTTTCTTCTGAGTAGTGCCTTGCTTTAGTTCATTGTTGTATAAGTCTTTCCGATCTTGGATTACTTTCTCTAGATGAAAAAATAGTATTTGGAATTACTAAGGTTACTAGAAAGCCAATCAAGGCTAAACGTACTCTAGAGTCACTAGTGCTCCGTGGAGAGCCTATAGACTTATATCACCTGCAGGAGTTGGTAATGGGCAGCACCACCAGCTGTAGCTTTTCTTTAAAATAGGCTCATCACTGCCCCTCAGCTGCTTCACCTTTTGAACCACAATTCCTCTTCTCTCAATCAGGATGTTCATAAACACCATGTGGGTTACTGTAGTAAAGTTTGGAGATGTTCTACATATAGCGCTCAAATATTGTACAATTTATTCATATTACAGAGGCCTGTTTCCAATCTCTGAGTTAAGTTTCTATGACCTCGCGTTTGGTTTTAAAGCAATGTTAAAAAGAAAGATGAGGTGCCATTTCTAATGTTAGAGTCTGGAACAGAGGTAGAACAAAATTGTGTGATGTGGAGGGGGAGAAGGAGGAAGCAAAAACAAAAGAGAGAAAGTTTCAGGGAAATCAGATGCCCCCTTCTGTTAGAATACACAAAAAGGACAGATGAGGAGGGGCCTCTCTTGCCTTAGCCACATATTAGTTCTGCCTCCCTTAGACTGCACTGGCTGAAAATGATGGGTTTATCAACTCTTAGTTCCAATTACCTATGTTTAGGAGAAAATCTGCCTCAGGTAGCTTAACATACACACATCCAAAATTTAGGGTTGTTACTTTTGTACATGGCTATCTCTTAAGTTAGTTGTGATTTTCCACCCGTTTCAAATGCAATGAATGATCTTTCCTAATTTTACCATATACTTATGCTAGCATCTCAATGAAGTGACTTATGTCTTATTACAGGTCTGCTTCTTGGTAAACTTTCATAGGGCAGGAGATGAGAAATAACTTTTATTCAGAACTTGCTATATGCTAGTACTCTCTTAGTGGTTATATATACATATCACAGTATAAACTGTGCAATATAGGTAGTACTGTTTGCAGATTTTAACTGAGGAAATTGAGGTTCAGAGAGAGTAGTTATCTCACCCAAGTTCACATAGATGTGATTATCAAAGTTTGTCATCAAGGAAAGTCAGGTTAAGCCTATTTGGCTGGGAAAATAATGGCTTGAATAAGTAACTCTGACTGCATGTTCCAGCTGATCTAGAATTGTATTCCCAGTGGAAATTTTCTACTGAAAAGGAAGATGTCTAAAGTTGTTTTTAGGCAAACAAAAACAGAATTCATCACTAGGAGATCCACATTAAAAGAAATGCCATAGGGAGTTTTGGGAAATAGGAAATTTTTACCAGAAAAAAAGAAATCACACAAATTCAGAGAAGAACGAACAGAGTTACAAAGTATAAATGTGTAGGGTTAATCTAAATGAAAGTTGACTACATTAAATAACAATAACAATATATTTCAGGGTTTAAAACATTCATAGAATTAAAATACTTGATAACAATATTTTAAAAACTTTTAAAACTGAGTTCAAATGTGGTAATTATACTTACATTTTTAGAGATGAGTTTAATGTAACAATTTGTATTATTGTGTAATATATCTGGCTTGCATATTGTAATGCCTAGAGTAATCATTAAAAGTAAACTAAAAAAAGTAAAGTTTACAAGCTAAGACAGAAAAATAATTAAATAATATAAAATGATTTAGTAAGTCCAAAAAAATATAAGAAAGAATATAAAATAATAAATGGATCTAAGAGAATACAAATAGTAATATGATAAGTTTACATCTAGCTATCTCATTCATTACATTAAGTATAAATGGATTAAATAGTTATTTTAAAAGAGAAATATTTCAGAACTGGATTGAAAACAAAGCCAAAATATAAGCTGCATAAAGAGGTCTGCCTTAAATAAGGACATAGAAATGTAAAATAAAGGACCTAAAAACATACTATTAAAATATTATCCATAAAAAGCAGTTATACTGAGGCGGGGCAAGATGGCGGACTAGGCAGAAGGATTGCACAGACCCTCTTCAACAAAGAAAAGGGAAACCAATTAACACAGACACAGAAGATAATCT